CCTTATCAACAGGAAGTGGTACTATGGTTTAGTTTTCTACATTTTACTATGAAATATATTTGGTTATTTGTGCTTGAATCTTAGACAAATATCTTAAGTTTTATTTTGGTTTAAATAATTCACTTCAGTATTTCATTGAAAACCTAGTTCCTTGTCATTTAGAATTAAACCTGCCATAAGACTGAGAACGGCACAGCCTGACCTTGTTTTTTATGTAAGTGCAGATGTTACCAGATGACTGCAATTTCTTAGACTAAACTTCAAAATCCACCTGTTACTAACACTAAATTCGAGGCCACGTCCTTTAATAAACTCTCCTGTAGTATACTAACTCTGGGACAAGCCTCTGAATACAGTCGCCGTCTTCGTTCCATACGAAGTGGAGCTGGTTTTCCTCCTCAGGAAACCCAGTGTTCGGTGATAAGATCTAAGCTCACGTGCCAATGAGCAGATTTTAACCCAGGTTCACGATATCACTAATCGTGACCAAAACAACCAGTTTTAAGACTCCACTGAGTTTTGTTTGAGAACTTCTGTGAGACGTCTTTTATTTTTGGAAAGAAGACCCGATCGGCTCTGACTCTCCGTTCGAACTGGCAGACATCCGGAGACACTGAAAAAATCAAAACACAGGAGGTTTTACTGGGAAGTAAGCTGAACCTGACGAGAGGTCTTGCTGACCCGGGTGAGGACTTCCTCAACGCCTGACCTGACGGTGAAGTCGTCTAAAAGGTAGAGGCAGATTGTTTGATTAAAGCGTACCAGTGTCTGGCTGAATTGAGTGGGAGACACATGTGCCCATTCCTTGCTCCTCACATACTGCAACCCTTTCTCACTCCCGAGTCGTCACATATTGATGCTTTTCCAAAGTTCCGTCTGCGTCCGATTTTTGATGCGTCGGGTACTCCCCTTGCGTCATTTTTTGACTAGATGGGGTGGAATCTGTTGTCATAATTTCTGAAAGTGTAGAAAATGTACAAAAACTACTGTTCCAAAGCCTAAAATTACCTTTATTCACTTTAGCCATCCTGTCCCTGACCCTAGTACCTAAAATTAACCATTAACGCTGATACCTAAAATTTACCATTTTTAGAAAATATAGGAAATTCATGTCAGCTACGTGTTCCAAAGCCTAAAATTACCTAATATTCGCTGTAGACATCCTATCCCTGACCCCAGTACCTAAACTTAACAATTAATCCTGATCCCTCATGTTAACCTCAGACCCCCGACCCAAAGACCCCTGGTGGCGCAACCCGGAAAAGCCGCGGGTAGCAAAGACTGACGCAAGGGGGTCATCCGGCACGTCAAAATAAGACGCAGAGGGAACTTTGCAAAAGCGTCAATCTGTTGACGAGTCGGGAGTGAGAATGTGTTACATATTGATAAGCTCAAAGTTAGGACCAACACCCTCATTTCCCTTTTTTCTTACCTTCAATTTATGCCCCGTCAAAACTTAAGAAAAAGTGCCGCAAACAATGGTTTATTTAAGACCTTAAGCCTGGAGTTTGTTGTTCCTGATAAAGTTGTCAAAGTAATGATAATTAACTCGGACGTGTGTTAATTGTTGTTGATTTCAACTCTTTATAGGAAGTTTGATTGGCCACAATAAGCTGCACATTAGTGATTTATTTGATTCTGTAAATAAATCTCATTTATTTTAGATCAACTTAAATTCTTGAGTCAAGTTCACCTTATTGTGTGGCCTCATATTTACACAGAGAAATAGTTTTTCCTTAAACACTAAACCCGTGAATTTCCTCGTAACTTTTGTTATGAGAAGAGCAGGTTGTACGCCTACAGGGGAGATAAATCAATGTCCAAATCAGTGGCTGATAAATGAACGTATTAGGTTTATTACCACAGTTTACTTGGATGTAAAACAAACTGTAGCACTGAAAATGTAACATCCAGTCAAATCTATAACCATTAGCTACTTTATCTAAGCACACAACCACAGAGACTTTAAACCAGAGTAAGAAACTGCAATATTAAGACTGGGATTGTAAAGGTCCTGTCACACTATAACCTTTTAGACAACTTAAACATTTTTCCTTATGAATAAATTACCCATATACATTATAAATTTGATATAATCATTAGCATTATAATATGTATTATTCAAAAGAGGCTTCCGATAGATTTTTTTATTCCATCTTCAGCTTAGACATCTTCAGAGTTGGACAAACTTTTCTTAAGCTGGCATAAGTTGTCAGAAAAGTTATTTGTGTGACAGAGCCTTACCATTCAGTTTATGAATAAATTCATTCAGGATTACTAATATTTGATGTCAACTGAAGCTCGCTCCAGCGTCTGAACGAGTCTGGATCTTGATACATAAGCAGAAATAAAGGAAGCAGCTCAGAAAGAAACAGTGATATGGTGACATTTTTCTAAAGGTTTCTTTTAACCATCGTTTTAGTCAGTAAAACCAAAATGCCAGCCCAGATTGTCTTTAACTTCTGTGTTACGATGTGCTTAAATAAAATGAGGGTTTTAATAAAGCAGAGCATTAACCTCACAGTGTCCACAATTAAACGTTTACATTTAAAGTGATTAGTTTCAGGGTAAAATTGTAGAGCTCGTTTTCTTTCTGACAATAAACACCGAAAAAGATGACTGGGATTTGATTTTAAGACACAAACAAGGGAGGAGGAAACCAATGTAAAAGAGGAGAGAAGATATTACTATTATCATATAATGTTTTTTAGAAGACTTTGGCTCAAAAATATTTATTTTTAAAAACAAGATCATTTTGGGAAAGTGACTTTTGAGTCGATGTCTCTTAAATGGTGCCCTTTAAACAGTACTTTATTGAGTTTTGGTCTGAAGCCCAGTTCAGACTTGGCAACGTGCACATTGGGTGATTAGATCAGAAGTAAATAGTGGTAAATTATAGGAGTGGATAAAATCAGGACCTATTCAAGTCTGACTGCTCAGGCCACAAACAGGACACATGTTGTCACATTTCTTTAGTGTCTGAGCAGAAATCTATTGATTGTTTGAACTGATCCAACACTGGTGAGATATTAACCCCAAAAAGCTAAAGAATTTTGAAATTGCGCAACATCTTTAAAAGGTATACTAAAAGTTATAAACGCACAAAAATCTGAGCTAAGTTTAATAAAGAATTAAACCACCCAACTTGCAGGAATCTTTAATCTACAAAGTTTATTATTAGATGCTTCATTAGCGAAAAAGAGTGGAGCAAAACACCAAAGACGACGTGGTTTTTCGCTAATTACTCAGGAGCATTTTTCAGTTCAATAGCAGAGCAGAAGCATGTTTTTCAGTGACAACTTTAACCATAATGTTTAACCGCACTCAAAAGGCTTTTAGTGGGAAGCCAATGGAGACAGGTCATCATCACTGCTTTTGTTGCAACATTTCTCTAAGATATGCAAAACACTTAAAGCGACAAATATCTAAAGTCATTTGCAATTTCTTTTATTAAAGACCTTAAGGTTGAACAATAATGAAACAAAATTGTGTTTTCCAACTTTAAAAATATCATTAAATGCTTCAACATCATTAAACACAATCTATCTTTGGATGATTTAATCCCTTTGTAAACATTCAATGAGACTAAAGAGAAGTGGT